GGGGAAGCAGCCGCGGCCGCTCCAGGTCCCGCCGCGTCCCGGCCGCTGCGGGGGTCAGGGCTGCTCGTGCTCCATCGCCCTCCCGGCGGTGCTGCTGGCCGCGCTCCCGCCGGGAACCTGGGATCTACTCTTTGATCCAAAATAGGCCAAATGCGGTGACGTTCGGGGCACGCTGCAGCAGCCAGCGGGATACGGCTTCCAAAGGCAGCGGAGACGCTTTGTAGAGGATGAAGGAGAGGAAGAGGGTTGGATGAAGAGAGGTGGGAGAGCAAGATCCCAGGAAAAGAGAGCACAGCAAAGCACAGAGGGAGGAGCAGGATCCCGCGCTGCAGAGACGGCTCCCGAGGAGCCCTGGGCTGCAGCGTTGCCCGTTCCGGTGCCTGCACTGCCCAACAGGGCCAGGCGTCACCTCCGCACTCGGCTTTTCTCAGAATGACCCCTCCTGAACTTACAGTTTGGAATCTTTATTGAAAGCCAAGCCATCCACTCTACGTGGTTAAGAAAAGTTCACAAAAGAGAAACGCATGTCAAGGAGCAGGATTTTGGGACATGGACGGAGGAAACACACCTGTAAAAAACAACACACACACACAAGAGAAAAATACTCTTTCTCCAAGACAATGGTAAGGACAGAGAACCAGAGCAGTCTTCTTCTGGCCTCCAAAATCCTATGGCAAGACCACCTTTCCAATGATTCAGTGATTTAAAAAAAAAAAAAAAAAAGGAGTTTTATTTACAGAGTGGACGAAGAAGACGTAGAGTTGCTGAGGTGTTTAATACAACATAGTCCGCATTGCCTCGGCTAACCGGTGTGCGAAGGCTTGGCTCCTCACCACCCACGGCCCTGGAAGCGTCAGCAAGTCTCTCAAGGTGCCGGGACGCTGTGGGTGAACTTAGTGTTCGAGGACGCAAGAGGCTGAACCTGAAGGAGCTTCCCCTGCCCCTGGGTCCTGGCAGCCCAGCTCCCCGCTCGGCCCCGCTGCACCCAGGACAACCAGGAACGGGTGTCCAAGGCCACACGGGAGACCTCTGCCTTCACGGCAGCCTCAGAACCCAGCTCTTCAGGGAGTCAAGATAAACAGCAGCCCCCACAGGCAGGCTGGGGACAGGCCCTTGTTGTATTTGCAATAAAACCAAAGATGGGGCAGCTCAAGCCCCGTGCCTAACAGATGATCTGCCCCATACGTGTTCCTTGATAAGTAGCATGGCACCAGGCTAGAAATGGAGTCCCTGAACTATCCCTGCGGGTATGTTTGGTGCTACCCTTCCTCTCCCCTCGGCACCATCCAGGCCCTGTTGCAGCAGGGCTGTCGTGACCCTGGTGTGTGCGGCGAGCGGGCTCCAGGCCTCTCTTCTGGGTGAAAGATGGTACTGTGACTTCAGTGAGTTTTACAGTATTAGTAAATAAGGGAATAATAATGCAATTTCATAACATTTCACAGTAAAATTACACTTGTTTTGGAAATATGCTGCCCCAAAAGCTGTCAGTAGTAAGGTCGTCGTGGATTGTTCTGTGGGGGAAATAACAAGAGAAAATTAATCAACATTGCTATCTTCACAGAACAATGAGCATTTCCGCGTAATAACTATCTGAGAGCACCACCAAAGTGCAACATTTTGACAGTGAAACCTGAGATTTCCCGCCCAAAATTGCAAATGTAGCTTTCTAGGCCTGTTGGCATACTGAATATAACACAGGCTGTCGCAAACTCGCAATCCTTTTGCAATCAGAAAAGGATAAACCGTGCTAGGATTCAAGGGCATTTGATACGAAAAGAGAATTCAAGACGGCCAAGTACTGCAAACACTCCCACCCCTGAGGCATGCACGGGGGTGCCGGGGGATTTTGCCTGGCTTAGGGATCCCCGTACCAGCGGATTCGGTCGGAAGCGGTAGGCCAGCATCATCCTCTTGCGGAACGCCTCGTACTCATCATCCTCCTTGGTGAGCTCGGCCGGCCGATCAATGCCAAAGCCAGCCCCATCCACGGCGGTGGTTCCCCTGTTTGAAAAGCAGGAATAAAGTCACCTCAGCAAAGACGTGAGGGCTCAGTGCCCCCCGGGCAGAAACACCTGCTGCCTCCTGCACCGGGAGCGCAGAACAACAACCAGGACCTGGGGACCAGCGTCACGTCAGGAGCGAGCGGTTATTGCAGGTGCCACCTTTCCACCTTCCCACTCCAAACGAGGGACACCAGCTACGGCCAGATGGAATAGCAATGCCAACACGTATTTGCTTAACCTTGTAGCTGGGGATGGGAGCCCTGCTCTGAGCCGCGGGCTGCCCCGGCACCCAGCCGTGCCGATCCGTGTCATTGTCCGCTCCATCGGGAGCGCACAGCACGCTCCAGAACCTGCCTCCTCCCAGGCCTTCCCTCGGAGCAGGAGGCACACCAGGAAAACTGGGAGCAGAACCCGTGCTCTCGGCTCAGACTGGGGGAAAGGAACAAACCTGGTGCTTTTGGGGAGTAGGTGGAGGGAACAAACAAGCAAAAAAAAAGAAAACGATTTTTCTCCTTTGCTGAAAAGATTCTACATTCTGCTCAAGTGATGAATTGCAGTCACATTCATTGCAGTTCTTTCCAAAGAGCATCAATTCTTGGCGTAAGAGGAAAGGAAAAGATCAATAGTGGAAGAACTCTGCTTACTTGCTGACTGGATTTTTAATCCCCTGTCCATCCGAGCCAAGTCCCTCGCCTTCCTTCCAGCCCATCTTCATCAGCATTTGATAACCTATGTTTTCTATGGTCAGTTTGAATTCTTTATATTCGGAATAATCCGGCTCACGGCCCTCCTGCACAGAGACAAAAGGTACTGCTGGTTAAGTGGTATACAAACATACCCGTGGATCTCTGTGGGTCAGAGAAGGGGAAACAAACAAACAACTTCAGCTACTGGAGGTGCCTGCATGGTTCTGCCACAGAGTTAGTAACTAGGAGGATTTCTCAGGATTCCTTCTGCAGAACCATAGAGAAGAAAACAGGTAAGTGATACAGTGCTGCACAGCCACACAAGCCTCACAACAAAACCTGCAAGAAGCAGGGAATGCTGCCATGAGATTAAGCCGAGAAATATTCAGCTCCTGAATTTGAAGTTGCTCAAGCTTCAGATACAGTTCTTATTTAAACAAGGATCTCCAGGGAACCCCGGACCCCATGCTGGTTACAGGAAAACATCACCAGGGATGCCAGCATCAAGAAATTCTACTGTTTAGGAAGAGTTGGCAGGTATGAAGAGCTTTGCATAAGCTTTTTGTAGGCTTTATACTTTACTGCAATTGTCTGCATAAAAATCCAGATTTTCCTTGCTTGGCAGTAACAACCACTTATCCTAAACCACAACAGCAGACACGTGGCAGATAGCTAAAATTATAGACAAACCTGGCAGACTAAGCCCCCCAAATCCTGTCCCAATAGTCTGTTCTCTAATTTGCTACAGCTGTTTCTCTGCAAAGAGCAGAAAAATAACCCTTTCCTTCCCCCAGGAGAGGTAACAGCTCCCACTGTCAGGGCATCCAGCAGTCCTCAAAGCTCCAGGGCGACTGACTACTGTGGAAGGGCTGAAGATGCGCGAGGTCCTTCCCTCGTTGCTACTGGGCCAGTCTGAAGCGTTGCCACTGCGCCCTAAGAAATCGCTGCTATTTCACCTTTAATGCCTTGAACGTCTCCATGAATTTCTCCAGCTCATCAGGGGGAAGAAAGTCTCCGATGAAATGTTTCCCTCTGCCCATCTGGGTCAGCTGCTCAGCCCACTCTGCACAAGACACGGAGCAGAGAAAACAGCAATACTGCAACGTTCTTCCAGGTGAAACTTCGCGAGCTCTGCGAGGGGTAAGGCCTCACGGGAACGAATGGATCTTTATAAGCCAGGAAACCAAGGCACGGACCAAGGCAAAGGAGACCCCGTAGCTCCCGCGGTGCCGGCGGGATCTCGGGTGCCTCCTTGGAGGCCTTTGCACAAGGGCAGGTGCCCGGTGCCCTCCACACACCTCGTGTCTTGTCCATCTCCATGCGGCGCAGCTGGTGCTCCCACGTGCCCAGCTCGCTGTCCACCTCCTCGTCGCTGTCGTAGTCGTGCTGGTGCTGCTGAATCGCCTTCTCCCACATCATCTGCATCTCCTGCATGGCTCGCTTGTGTTTCATGATCATGTCGTACATCTGCTGCATCTAAGGGGAGAGGAGCAGCAGCCCACGGGGTGAGGCAGCCAGTCCATGGGCAGCAGAGCTCCCCACACCTCAGCAGAACCCCCAGTTCTGCTCTTTGCACCAAGGCCTGTACGTGCCCACCCACCTCCTCCCCGCTTCTAAAGCGGCACGCAAGCAGCTGCAGACACCATTTCTAGATTCTAGGTTACAGTTTGGTCGGACAGCAACTGCCTGGGTTAATGCACATCCCCCAAAGCCCTGCAAGATATTTCTGCTGACTGCAGCATCACACGATTCTTAGGCATTCAGCACAAATCCTAGAGATTTATTTGTGGGGCCATTGGGAAAACGTCTTTCCTATCTCCACCTCTGTTTTCCCACCTAATTCAGCCATGCCGCACTGCAAACGAACTCGGAAATCCCTCAAGGACTTTTACCTCCTGCTGCTCCTTCAGCTGCTTCTTCTGGGCATCAGAGAGCTCCGTCACACCCACTAGACCAACCGGCTTCCCTTTCTCATAGCCGAGACCCTTGAGGTCCTGAACTGAAACAAGCACAGGTTAAAAGATTTTCAAACACCCGAGGCAGCTGTTGACACCACAGAACCCGCATGGCAAGATCCCCCCATGAAGTTTCCCGCTCCTTTCATAGCTCCAGCATTTAGTCATTTAACTGCAAAATAGCAACCTGGTAGAATCCAGGGAATCCCAGAGGCGGGAAGACCACCAGGGCTCCCTGCCAGCGAGCTCCGATGAGCCCTCAGTGTGGCCCAAGGTTCTGCTCGTGCTGTTGGTGGACTCGCAGCCCGTGTTCCGTGTCCTTCGAGGTCAGGCTGCACCACCCGTGCTTTAAAAAACATTTCTGCTCTCATCTTAGTTGTCCTCGGGAGGCTCCTTACAGACCCCAGCCATTGCAAAGAGCGACACTTAATTATTCAGAATTGAGTGAGGAGCTGATCCAGGCCTGCCAGCACATTGCCCAAGCTCTGCATGTAAGCATATGCCCATTACTACATAAACAGCAACTTCATTCAAAATGAAAAGCAAATGACCACATTAAAGACATGCACATTATGCTTCTTTGGAAGTTACCATTCCCCAAGGAGATTTTAATTTCTAGTCTACAGGCTCAAGAACAACACTGCCAGGGATGTTGGCCCCCGCTTTAAAAGCAGGAGAGTTTTAAGTCTCAGCTTGAGAATCCCCTCATGCATCTTCCATTTGCTACAGGGATCCACTTGGAAACTCCTTCTTTGGAAGGATTTTGCTGCTCTATCAGATAAGGCCTGAAATTAGATATTAAGATTATCTGGGCAGGGAACCTGCTGGTTTGAAATGATGGCACTTTACCTTCCAGGGTCAATGTTAAAAACCAAAAACTGCCCATTTTTAATTGGTACTTTGTGGAAAAAAAAGTAACGGAAACCTTGCTGGAGCTACAAATAGAGATGTGCAATGAAGAATGCCTTGCAAACCCACTTCATACACACCTAGCGGGATGCCAGGTTCCCTCTACGGCACCTCAGCATTAGCATCCCAACAGTTCAATATTTAAGGCATTAAGACACACATGCACTTGAAAGTGCGCTGCATTTTTCAATACAAAGACAGGGATTTCTTCCTAATGACTGTAAAAGCCTCTGTTTTAATGTAAGTCCAGACTACAGCTAAATGCTGCTTCATTAATTATTCATCCTCTATTAATTCCGAAGCCCAGTAATAACAGGATTACTATTCACGATACAGAACGCCTGCACAGCATGCTAATGGTGCCCCGGGGTTGTCCTCTCCCTCTGGCCCATCCGAGCACTCCCCTCTCCTCCTTTCCAGCCTGCTTTTGGGCACGATGTTGTGCTTGGAGAGCAGCATTCCCAAAAGCGCCGGCATCCCGAGGACACCACGGAGCGCCCGGCGGCGCCGCGAAAGGCCTCGGAGGGGAGCGCGGCCACGCGCAGCTACGCCAGGCCCGGCGCCGGGACACGCGCGCTCGGCTCCCTAGGAGGGACGGCAAGCAGAAAGATTCATCTACCCGTTATTGGGAAAAAGCCTCATTTCTGCCCCGCAGAGAGAAGGGAGATGCGGAGCCAGTTTTAAGGAATATGCTAGAGCTAGTCCATGTAAACCTGGCAGCAAATCCCACCCCAAGCAGCGCAGCAGGGTCCCCAGCGCAGCCGCTCCTCCTTCCTCGGGCACGGAGAGCTTTCCTGGAGCGCCAGGAAGGCGCTGCCCTTCGCAGAGGGCAGCAGCTCCGGCCTCGCTCGGAATTGCATAAACGCTCCGGCGACGAGCCAGGCACGGCTCGGGAGGCCCCGCTGCCTGGTGCCTTGCCAGCAGATAGAGCAACCTAAAGGAGGACGGGAAGGATGCGGCAGCATCATCTACAGCCCACAAAACACAGCCCGCTGCACGGAGCTGCGCGGGGCTCGGCTCCCTGGAACGGGCCCTGCAGGCGTCACGGCGGGGCTGGAGCAGCCCCGGAGAGAGGAAGCTCTGGGGATACGGGCAGCCTCGGCCAAACGGATAACACGGCCAGGAACAGCCGACGGAAAGAGCAAAGCTCCACCCCGAGCCACATCTGAACTTCCAAAAGGCTATTTACAAACAAGGCTAGTCAAGGTATTTACATAAAAATGGATAAGATTTAAGTTCATTACAACAGGGTAGCAGCAGGCAAACACCAGGCAAAGGATGAGACGTTTCTCAGCCGCCTGTTCAGCCGGCTTGGGGAAAAAAGCTGTTGTTTTGCAATATCTATTTTTTCTTGAACGACATCAGATTGCTTACAGGGTTAATGGTGCAGTCTATCTGCAGCATTGGCAAACGACTATCTGAAGGTTTATCCTTTACCCACATTCCCAAAGAGAAGCTCCTTATAACAGGAGTGAATGTCCTTTGAGGACAGCAAGAGAAATTACAGTACAGAAGAGTCTGGGTTTTTTTTTTTTCTTTTCTTTTCTTTATGGTCTGAAGATCATATTCAGTCAGAGCAAATCAGACCCAGTCCAACCCAGTATTAGGTTTCAGAATATTTCAACGATTTCTCTTAGTTTTCCATTAGTCCCCAGAACTCACGAATCACAGTATCCCTGTTCATGTCCAAAGGGCTGCACTTTCTCCTTTCTATGATACTCATTTCTTACTATGGATAGACACAAAAAAAAAGAAAAAAAAAGAAAAAAAAAAAGAAAGAAGAAGAGGAGAACAGTCCTTCACTAAATCCAAAACAACCAACAACAACACGGAGCTGAGATTTGGATATTTAGGAAGGAAAGCACGGCGTGCAGCTCTAACCTTCCACAGGACCAGCAGTGTAATTTGGTATGCTGTTTACCTGTCAGGTTAAAGATGTTAATTCTAGAAATGGATTAGTTGATCTGAACCAATAAAAGAAACGTTCTCCCCGCAGAGTATTAACAGCGCATTAATGACTGATTTGATACCCCTGGGAAATTGTTTGCTGTCCTCCTCTTCTACCTGACACCAAGCCCTGAGCACAGCTAGCATGACCCTGTCTAATCAGTGGAGGCCAAAAGGAAGAGCCAGGGACTCCAGCAGGACACCCGCTGCAGTGGGCACAGGGAGAGCCGCGCAACGCCCGCTGCAGCAGGAGGCATCGAGAAGAAACTCTACACGTGTTCTGCCACTGCCTGCCCAGCCCCAGCATTTAAGCTTCATTATTGGCTACAAGGAGGAAAGAAAACGATTAAAACTCGAGATGCACAAAATGAGGGAGATGTTTGCATCTGATTTCTGATTTACTAGAAGCAGCAGGTCAGGGTCAAACAAATGGGGTCTCCAGTTTGGCATCATCTTGTACATACAAGTGGGATGGATGGAGAAGACTTCTCCATAGGGCTGCAGTCAGTAAATAGAGCTTCAAAACTGCACACAAACTTCCCTTCATCTCCATCTGAAGTGCTGCACGAAGAGGCAGAGTCCTTCCCTCCTGCCCTCTGCAGCAACCAGACACCACAACACACACAGACAACCCTACACCTTATCAACATCTTTGTTAAGCTTGGATATTTGAGCAACTATCTCCTCCAAAACCCAGAGCTAAAAACCCACCACCTTGGAGCAAGGAATCCTACAGGCTGACTACATGCTGAGAATTATCCGTGTTCTCACTCTACAGCTCAGAAAACTATATCTTCCTTTACATTATTCGCCCCACTTCATCTGTCTGCAATTGCTTTTTGAAAGAAGTCCTTACTGAGATTCCTGCGACTCCAGCCTCATGCCATTAATTCTCTCCGTTTGCCAACACCAACGACCTTATCTTGTGCCTTTTCTTTCTCCCTTTCACATCCTTTCCCCATACCACACTAATTGGGCAAAGGAATCAAATATGCCCTCTGAAATGTCTGCACTTACCTGTTACCAAAACTGAGTCACCCAAGACACGCATCTCTGTCTGTCTAATTACCCATCTGCACACACACTGATGGGCCACAAGAGCTCAGCCTCAAACAGAAATACCTAGAACAGCAGAATTATCTTCTACTGCTCAACCTGAGCTGCGTCCCATGGGTCACCTTGGCAGGAGGAGCAACAGGGGCACCAGCCTCACTGCTGGCGAGCACCGTGAACCCTGACAAGAATCAAATGAACTGAAATGGGTGCAAGTTTGAACTGAAGTTAGACTTGTGTCCCCCAGCAGCTGGGGAGACAGCTATTCCTATTTAGCCTTCTGCTCAGTAAAAATAAAACAGAAACACTGCTCAGGGATTTTAATCTGTCATTGGGAATAGGCACAGTCAGCCTTTGATATTTGTTTTCTGACAATCTCTCTCTCTGAGGTGAGATAGCCCTAACTAGCACACGGGCTGAGGCTGGAATGAGCTACAGTCCAGCAGGTTTTCAGAGATAGCTGCAGAACGATAAGACCCAGTCCCTGGTGTCAGCAAGATAAAGTGGTTTATTGGGGTTTCCACCCACGGAGACTCAGCTGCTAGACCAGGCTTAAAGGCAGGGGACTGGTGACGGAGGAGATGAGGAGATAGGTTGGGTTTCCTGTTAGCACAGCCAGCTGGGCCAAGGCAGAACACACTCCCCAAGAGAGAGAGCACAAGGCAACACAGAGACCCACCAACCTGACAGCGGGGACGGAGAATCCAGCTGCTGCACAAGCTGCGGGAGAGGCAGCTCCACCTTGTCCTCCTCCGGCCCCCACCGGCTCTTCCTCTTCTTTTTTGTAGTGCCTGCGGCAGTGGCTGTTGCAGTGGCTGTAGCTGTTGTTGTTGCTGTTGTTGCTGCTGTTGTAGTAGGTGTGGTTGTAGCTGTCTGATCAGATGGAGTCGAAGATGACAGTGGTGACGGCAAAGGTGAGGGCAAGGATGGGGGCAAGGATGCTAAGCATGATGGTGAAGGTGACGCCTCTGGAATGTTCTTCCTTTTGAGACTGGGTTCTAAGTGCAAGGGGGCACACACGGAGCCAGCTTTGGCCTTACGGAATTCCTCCAGTTTCTGTCGGTAATACTTGTAGCCTTTGCTGTTTGGCTCATATAAAAACCTAATAAAAAGAAAAAGGTTCTGTATGCAAGTCACATCTAGGGGTTGACCTGTACCACAAATTGGTCAGGGCTTCCCTTTCCTACAATCTGTGCTTGTACATCCAGCCTTCCCACACGCTTCCTTACTCTCCAGCACCATCCTGTGTACATGTCCGTGCAGTGCAGGGCCCTGGCTCCTCGTGCAAGGCACGCTGCAGGCCTCCAGGATCAGGAAGCGCATTTCCCATTCACGAGTGAGCCACAACTATTTATGGTACCAAATAAACACACGTTACTGAAAAGGATCAGGTTACATCCATAGAAATGCACAGGATACACGTGCTTTCCAGAAGAGCTTTGGGAAGGCTGCAAGAGCTCCACAACACACTGGGTTCCAGTTAACAGATGAAAGAAAACAAGTCCCTACCTCAGGTCTTACCAAAGGAAATGCCAAAAAACTGCTCCAAGAAGCTGCTCCCGGCCTCCCCTCGGCCTAGAGGCAGAGGCACTAGCAGCCTGGATAGCTTTGCCATGGAGCGGAGCATTTCAGGAGCAAAGCAAAGGGAGAAACGTTCAGAGGGCTCCTGCACACCTTGACGAAAGTCAAAGTTGTAAAAGAAAAAGTCCGGAAGCCTGCAAGGCAAGATCTCCTTTTCACCTTACAAATTTCCTCTGGATTCAATAGAGGGGCACCTAATCCTTGCTCCATCCTTCTGCTTCTAGCCCAGCCTGCAAAGTGTGCAGCCAATGTGTCTGAGAAGAGAGCCCTGGCACAGGCTGCCCAGGGGCTGAGGAGGCTCCTTCCCTGGAGATCTTCCAAACCCACCTGGATGGACCCTGTGCCCCTGCTCTGGGGGTCCCTCCTGGAGCAGGGTTGGACTAGATGATCTCTAGAGGTCCCTGCCAACCTCAGTCCTTCTGGGATTCTGTGACTCCCTCCTGCTGCCTCCGAACAAACACTGCCCCAATCACTGCCCCTTCCAGAAATGAGCATTTCTGACCCTTTAGTTGCAATAAAACTACTTAGCCTCTGTACTGGGAGCATGAACATGCCCCAGTCCAGAAGCTACATAAAATAACACATTTGTAACAAACATGAGTGTATCTGGGAGGGTCTTCTCCCCAAATTTAAATAAGGAGAAACTTTGTCTCTTCACAGCCTCTCTATGAACTCCCATTTCGAGAAGAGCAGTTTAATGCTCGACCCAATCTCTTCTGTGGGAGCAGACACGCTCCTGAGCGCGCAGAAAAGTCCTCTTGTCTGTTGGATCTCTTGCTCTGATCCCACACAACACAAACGTGAACCGATCCAGGGCTGAGCACAGGGCTGCACCGGACACTCCCCAGGGAAGCGTCAGGAAAGCCAAGCACAGGAGATGGTGTTTCCTTGAGGTGCTCAAGGGGGACCACCCGTGCTGTGGGTCTGCATTCTCTCACTCGTGCATTCTCAGAAATGCTCCGAATGAAGCAGCTCAAATATCAGCACCTCTAATACTATCCACAACACAAGGACACTAACCCAGAGGGCTAGAAGGAAGCCAATAAAATGCCAACATTTCGGCAACAAAATAAAGCTTGCTTTAAGTGAGCTTTAAGTGAGTCTCACTTCCCTCCCAGGGAAGGCACCAAATTGTTTGTAAGGGCAGGAAAATGAAGCATGCACGAGAGCAAAGGGAGCCATTGAGCAGCTGCCAGCAGGCACTGCAGAGAACAATTCGCCTCCGACAGGCTGAGAAAGATTTTTCCAAAGGGGGGCCTAAGGCTACAGGCGCTACCTGCACATTAGTGAAGATGCTGCTGAAGAGCAACCTGGGGAATTAATCAGAGAGCAGCAGTGAGAACGAGCGGCGGCTGGGGGCCCACAGCAAACAGCAGCTGCAGGGAACAGCACAAAGGTTACAATGATACTCTGCAACAGAGAGGAGGCGAGGGAAGAGGGAAAGTGTAAAATCATCTTAGGGAAAACCGTCGTTGGAGGTGGAACAGCACACAGCCTGTTTAAAACCTGCATCCTTCCGCGATGCTGTGGGCTCAGCTAGCCAAGAGGAGCATCTTGCACTAGAGAGCAAACAGAACGGCAGCCCTCCCGCCTCGCAAAGCGGCGTTCCTGGCACAAACCATCTGCTATGAAGAATGAGCAACATATTTGGGTGCAAAACAGATAAATGGGAAAGAGCCCCTGAACCTGTTCTGAGCTCATCCAGACTTCCCGGCAGGACTTGGGCTTAAGACATCAAAAATAAATAGACAAAAAGCAGATTAAAAGAAGCAGAAGAGGTAAAGCAAAGGTAACCCGATAATCGGCTGATTGCAGGACAGACCTCCAGTTTAATGCTTTCTAGTAGAAGTTTAAATACGTATGTATTCATTCTTTATAAAGAAAAAAGGCCTGTAGCAGGATGATCAAGAAAGGGTAACACGATCACGGAGGAACCTTTTATGTGACAAGCAGCATAAAAATGTACCACAGAAACAGTTGTAAGAGAGGGACATCAAGACAGGCAGATGAAATTTCAAAGTAACAACAGGGAGAGTTGGACAAGTGAGGAACATAATCCAAAAGAACCCAGCTTCAAAGACACACCGCATACGCTCACGAGCTAGTGCAGCAGGTTAACTGCACATTTCTGTGTTCTCTCCCTAGCTTTGACACCGATTTTCTTTGTGGCTATGGGTAAAGCGCTTCCTCTCCTGGCACCTTGGTTCAAACTGCGAGGCTTAATTAATGCTTGCAAAGCTATTTCACAAGCAGCTTGGAATTGCAAGATCACTTCAGGTTTACAAGTTTGCATATTATTTTCTTTAAATAGAATAGCCCAGCTAAGCTCCCTGCCCACCCTCCTCCCCCCAAGGCCGCCCAGCTGCAGGTCCTTCCTCACCTGAAAGCATGGTTCTCTCGGTTGTTCTGCAAGGCAATAGCTTCCACCTCAGGACCCCCGTCTGCTATGAACCTGGCCAGTTTCTCAGCAAAGTTCTTTGTCTCTTCATCCTCTGGGGGTGAAACTTTAAGCAGGCTGTCAGTACTGGGCCCAACTCACACAAGCAACAGTCATAGCCTATCTGTTCTAAGAACCCCAAGAGCAGAATAAGGGCAAAAGGTCGAGTTTATTTCTTAGAAACATCAGACATAAACAGTCAAAGCGCTTATAATCATAAGAACATGATATTGCATAAAGTGTACAACTTTGTAATCAGTTCTCTCTCTCCACATCTCTCTCTGCAGAGGAAGCCTGTTTCTTCCTCGTGTGAGGCTCCTTTCCATAGTGTTACACCTCAGCACTCTCAGTGACCTCTAGTTTAAAGCATTTGTTGCTGAAGTTAACAGAGGCAAAAATGGAAAGGACGTAGAAAAAGTGGCAAACTCGTACACACAGTAACCCCACGTGCACCTACTGCCATCCCTTTCAGCAATGGGCAGGACAGACTCTCCACGGAACAGCCCCAATCCTCACCTGGAAGAGGTGGTTGCTGCAGCCTTAGTCCAAAGGCACAGAGAATGCTCAGATCATTACATTTTCAAGCATATTTGATGCTTATAGGGAGCTGGGAAAACATATTATTTGACCAGACAGCCTCACAGGACACTTGCTGCCTGCACCGTCCCAGTACTCCAGTGTCCTGGCACAGGAGCAGGAGGCAGAAGCCATGGTTTTAAGCCATGGACAAGTCCTAACCTTTGCTTGCTTCAAAATTCCACACCTGTAAAGCATGGATAATAGTGCTTAGCTTCCCAGCTGTTGTCAGTTAGTTGATATTGGTAACAAACTCTTCCAGCCTACAGTCTACTGAATCATGAGTTGTTTGAGCTGTTAACTCATCAGCATGATCCATAATTGCATTAATGCTTCTTTCCACAGAAAAGGGAGAGGACAAGTCCTTTGCTAGGGCCACACAACAGGACTATAGCAGAGGCTGGACCTTCTGTCACAGCAGGGCACAGTTAACCAGGGTCTGCACCCACAACACCTACCTGCTGGCAAACCAGCCGCTTCTGCTGTTTCTCTGCCTGAAACCACAGCCCCCAGTTTGCAAGGACTGTGCAAAACAGGGCTCAAAACAGGCCCAAACAGAAGATAAAAGCTTCAGATAGAGAAAACAGCAGAACAGTTTTCATTGATAACAAATCAAATTAGAATATCAAGAAAAAGCACTTTTACTCAATGTATTTTCAGGGCAGAAATGTATTTTCCAGGACATAAACAAGGCAGAATTATTTTCCCTTTGGTTCACTTTAAGTATTCTGGAGCAAACCAGGAAAACTTTCATGAGCCTGCCAGAAGTATGACATAGTACCCTGCAGGTATGAAAAATCATCACTTTGGCACCAGAGTTCGATGCCGTAGTATCACTATCTCCTTCCATCTGCGACTCTCTGAAATTTTATTTACAGGTAATAGACTGTCAGCCAAATATCTTCCTCACCGCTTCCAAAACAGAGAGAGTGAAGAAAGCACCAGTAGTTTCTTAATTCATAGACTATTCCCCAGATCCCAGGCTTAGTTACCTTTCTCAGAAGAGGATGCCTGAGGACTTTGATTCTCTTTTCTTATCTCTGCCACTTTCTTTCTGTAGTAAAGGAATTCTCTGCTGTTCTTATCATGTAAAAACCTAAGGGCAGAGGGTTTGGGGGAATGAAGGAAAAAGGGTGGAAAACACACATCAGCAACAGCTCTACTACTGGTACTCTGGGATGTATATTACTCAAAAGACTAGAAAGAAACAGAAGATAAATTACACAGAATGCATTTAAAATGTGAATTACAAATACTTTAGTACATATAAATGCACTTAGCTCTAATCTAAGGTCTCATATCCAAATGTTGCATGTCATTTGACTGAGGAAAAATTGTATCAGTCTCTCCTTGTCATATAAGAGAATCACGCGTGCACAGTGACACAGCAGATGGAAGGCAAGGAGAGGACCAGCCTGGAGATCCAGCCCGCTATGCCCAAGTGCTGGACGATGCTGTGTGCACAGCCAGATCCCCAGGTTTTATTCTTAGTCCTGGTAACCGATCTGTATCCTCAGCAACATCACAGTCCTGCCTTCTGCCTCATTTTCTCCAAAGTTAAGACAACTATTTGCAGCAGATCTGAAATCCACTAAAGGATAATTAAACCAAAAGTCATTCCTAAGACCTGCATGCACAAGGGTGATATTTTCCTCCTACAAAGAGACAGAGTGCTGCTTTGGAGGACGACAGTTACTGCCACACTTACGAAAAAGCTGGGTTATCCTTGTAATCTTCCATAGCGACCTTCTCTAACTCAGGTCCCCCTTCAGCCACGAACCTAGCCAGCTTTTCCACCACTTGGCGGGTCTCCGCATCCTCTGGGGGTAAAACTTTAAGCAGGCTGTCAGTACTGGGGTTCAACTCACACACCAAACAGGCAACAGGTACATTACTTCTAAGAACCACAGAGGCAGACAAAAGTAGAACGGGGATGGGAAGAAAGAGGATGAAATGGGGGATCCAGTCTTACACAGCTGTACAAATTACATTTCCTCAGTTACCACCAGTCTCTACACTCCCCTTCTAGAAACCAAACTGCCTAACTAGATTTTCCCCCACCCAGAAAAGCCTAAGATCTGGATTACCAAAACTTAGGAATAACTTCAATTTGCTTCTGACAATCAGACTCCGTGCAAAAGACAGGCTGACAAGAGGACAGGAATTTGGACTGCGTTTTAATCGCGACGTTACTCGAGAGAGATGACGGAGCGCAGGCCCCGGGCCACCATCCACGCTGCATCCGCACACCAGAGGCAGCTGGAGCAGCTGCACATCCAGCTCCTCCTCCTGCAGCCGCCGTGCTCAGCCCTCCCTGGGAGCAGATCCCAGGGCTCAGGCTCCAAGAAACGGCGCGTTGGTTCCTGTGCCAAGACAGGACCCAGCAGCGCCGGTCCCGGCTGCGGATCGGCCGTACGGCACACGCGGCGGGGACCAAACCGACGTCTGCCCGGACAAAAACGTTTTGGATGAGGTGCTGAGCAAAGGGCACGCGGGAGCAGGGCCGTGCGCCCTGCTCTAGGCTAACTCTGAACCCAGGGCCTGTCCATTAAAGATCCGCAGCCTGTCCTGGTCCTCTGCAGCCCAAGGACACATTGCAGCGTGTTTCGCACTTATGTTCAGACTTGCCAAGATTGTGATTTTATTAATTCCCACCAGAAATAACTAGACTTAATAAAAACATATATATAATGAAAGGACACAAGGCTTTCTATCACTTATTTACCATATCCAGCCTAATTTCATACCTGATTAAGATACGCACACAAAAGAAATAGATCATTAAACAAATGAGTCTTCTAGCATCCTAGCCTATCGCATTCAGAGAACCTCAGTTACATAAACCCCATCACCAGGATATCTGAACCTGTAAAAACAGCAGAGCAGGAGACATCACTTACCTTTAATTTCCAGCCACTGCTCATAATCCTCCTCCTCGTCTTCATCTGGCGACTGAAACACACTGAGGCGGTTAAGGACCGGGGGCTGTTTGGAGTGGGAGTAGCTCCTCGCCTGCTGCAGCATGCTGCTCAGGACCTGCCCCGGGCGCCTCCCAAACAGCACCGGCTTCTTCCCAACACTCGATGCGGGAGCATTTGCCGTGTTATTAGCGGAACTTGGGGGAGGTTCTTCAAAAAGAATGGGGGAAAATAATTCCTGCACATCCTTACTGCTTTAATCTCAGAAGGTTATAAAGGACAGGCAGTAACACAGCTGCAATGGGCAGTTATTTTAAGAGCAAGTTAAAGACACTGACTGGTAAAAGCTGCACAACTAAGTGAAATTTAGGGTGATTTTTTTATTCCAAGTTGAAATCCAAGCTAGAAAAGGATGCTTGCTTTATAGCACCCATTGATGGCAAAAGAGCAAAACTCCCTAGCACACATCACCTTGAAGAGAGACTCCAATCCAAATTCAAATGGGATCATCCCTGTTTTAGGAATTACTCGTGCTAATAACAACTCACAGCTGAGTTTCCAGTGGGAACACACAGGGAGGCAGCTCATACGAGGCCAGTATCACCACGGGAACAAGGCCCCTGGTGCTCAGGAGTTGACCTACCAGTACTTGACTTTTCCTTCTGCAGCTTGAGAAACTGCTGGAGGAAACTGCCATCATTAACAAACTTGTTGGAAACAGAGGCTTCGTTTTCAGAACCTTCATCTCTAAACAGGAAAAAGAAAAGCAGGTGATGGTATTCGACACCTTCCCCCGCCCCTCGTGCACTGCTTTTGGCCGGACACAAGCTGAACGCCGGTGCTCACTCGTCTCCCCCCTTACTGCTGAGGGCACAGGCAGCTTTGCGAGGGAAGCGCCGGGCTTGCTGCCTAGCACGTTTCCCCACGCGCTCCTGGCTCGCGCTGAGGCGGGATCAGGA